GTTGTTTTCAAACCTACATTTTAAAAAAAGTTTTAAAAAATAAAAAAAATGTTTGTGTTGGAAATATAAAATGAAATAAAAATTTTATATATATATATATTTCATTTTTCAAATTAAATATTTTCTTTTTTTTTCTAAAAATGTTATTATCATTTTTAATATGTCATTATGTAATGACCAAAAGAATATTGAGTAATGTCTTTTTAATATATTGTTAATTGTTCCCTCCGTTTAGAAATGTTCTTCTCGTTTGACTTTTTACGACCTTCATATGATTTCTATAATAATATTTTTTTGGATTGATGCGAAAATTAAAAGATTTCCTTCATGATTTAATATTCCCTATTCTATAAAAGTATTTTTTTCATATGATTTTCTTTTTCTTTATTTTCTTTTCAATTCTTTTTTTCTTTTATTCTAATTTTGATTAAAGTAAAAGAAACGGCATAAAATTAATGAATAGAAAATGAGAAATGAGCTTTAGTGAAAAAAGTGAATGTTTCATTTATTTTCGTATCATGAAAATGAACCAATACAGATATTTATTTTGGGCAAAAAAATAGAAATATTTAAGTTTAGACAAATGAAGTGTACATTAATTCTTACTCCCTCCGTCCCGCTATATTCGTCCACTTTTGACTTTTGGAACTGTTCATCTAAGGACTTTGAGTCATCAAATTCTCTCAATGTGTAAGCCTAAATATAGTGATGTGTGATCTTGTTTGATTTGTCTTAACATATAGATTATTAATATATAATTTCTATAATTTTTTAATATACAAATTACAAGATAAAATAGATTAAAGAAGTGTATTGGATGGTGTGTAAAAATGAAAGGGGACAAATACTCTGGGACGGAGGAAGTATTATTTAATTGATTTTTATTGCAAACACAAAAATATTTGATTATTAAAACATTATAAAAATAATTTTAAAAAAGAAATGAAAAACATTTATGAAAAAAATAATAGAAAAAAGAGAAACAATAAGAAAAAGAGGGAGTGTTTGTGCCGATTTCCAAAACTATATGGGCAACGGAGTTATTCATATAATATTTGAAGGATATTTTAGTTTAGAGAGACACTAGTGTAGTAATATAAAAACATGAAGGTCAACGATGCAAGTTTTGAAATAATAGAAGGTAATTGATACGATGTCGTATCGAGATAGGGAAGGATTTCGAGCACCTTTGAGCTCCAAGAACAAAAGAGGTGAGAAAGAGAGAGATTAAGGTTTAGGAGAAAATATTTTCTTTATTCATTCATTAATAATTCATTGAAATGGATACATTTATAGCTAGGACATCTAAAGAATTCTTACCATAGAAGAAAACTAAATATTCTAGGAATTCTAATTATAAATGGCAACAAATATCCTAACAATACTATACTACTTTCTAATAATAATATAATTAACTAACCATATATAATGATACTACATAATATAATAATAATAACCACTAACCATTAATAATAATAATGATAATGATAATTAATCTCGTATCAGTAACGATGCATTTTTACCAAGCCACATGGGATCTGGTGCAATTAGCTCTATTAATAGGAGTTACCATTATGAACTTGTTATTGAATTTTTAAATCATCATCATATATGATTATATATTCTCCTTTAACTTAAATTTTTAGTGAAATTTGCCCCTAAATATGACTAAACATGAGTCATTTCTCAATGCAGGACTTAAACTTTTCTATTTTTCCTAAATAGTATTTAATAATGTCTAGTGAGAGGAATAATATCCAGTGATGATGGATTTTTACTTGAATAATGACTAATGAATAATAACCAATTCTTCATGACATATGCTCCCTGAGGTATTATTAGAATTGCTAGTTCAATCATAGTAAAATAAATTTATTCCCTATATATATTGGTAAATTTAGTGTCGTCGGCTATTTTGTATGATTGGATTTACTCCGATCAGACAAGAATTTGAATAGACGTTCTCAGATGAGTTAGGAGGTGTGAAGTGCACACTCCTTCAATGATATTACAAATTCATGGTAGGAGTACGGGGCCAGCAACCCCCGGGTAGCAGGGTCTAAGGGGGGGCAGCCCCTGGTAGGGTCCAAGGGCAGAGCCCTTAGTAAGGGTGGACAACTTGAGTTTATTTTATGTTGGACATTATTGCTTTATGAAATTCCTTTAGATTTTCATGAATGAAGTCCAACATATTAGAAAAAGATTATATGGACTTTGGATAAAGATCAAATTTGACCAAACCTTGCAAATATTTGCGTCCAAATTAGTCAAAAGTTTACGTTTGTCCCTACCACGCAAAAGTTTACAAGTTTACGCAAAAATCATGCTTGACAAGTGATTCTTCGTTTCTATAAATAGAGACACACAACCAACACAGGTATGGTTGAGAGAGAGATTTTCGAAAGGCTTGTTCTTGATTGACATCTTATCTGATTAAAGTATTTTGATATACCCCGAAATAACATTGATTTGAAAGGGTAATCGTGATTCGTTAAACTATCAAATTGTATTCTCGTTCTTCGTTTATTAATTCATCAACACCGCTTCATAGCGTTCATCCTCTACATATTCTAACAAATATATTTCGGACTTGAAAAACTCTTTGGGGAAGCTTAAGAAACATTCTTCAATAATGGCACCTGGTTCTTCGGATCGATTTCTGGCTCTCCTATGCACCCTCGCTTAGACGAAGGCAGAAAAGGTTTGTAAAGAATGAGCTTCATCCCCGAGGACTCCCTCATACCAGGTTAAATGGTCATTGAAAGAAAGTAAATTGGACTTTGATGGAATTAATCGCACCAGCGGGTTGAGAGCAAAATCAATACCACGAAGATAATCAACAAACCATGACACCTCAATCGTCGGCGTGGAAACCAATTGCGTGGTCATGTTATCGGTAGGGATCGGCGCGCACCCCTACAATATTAAAAGTGCCAGTGAATTTTGGTTCAAGGGGTTTGCTCTCATTACATTTGCATAATCCCCATTTATATACTCCCTTGTCCCTCCCCTCCTTTAATCTTTTCTTCAAAACCAATATCACGAGAGGATTCAGGGTCTCTATGATATTTCCTTTGAAAAATTAACGATTCCTACTCCACCTAACCTCCCTAGAAACTTTCACCCGACCAAAACCCATCCTCTACTGGTGGCGCTAGAATTTTTTTTACCGGGACACATTTGATAAGCACAAATATAATAGAAATAAATTAAATTTAAATAAAAGAAAATATATAATTAATATGTAGTCTTTAATACTGTTTGGCTTAATTAGGCAAATCTTGGATTGGGCTGCACATTTAGGTGTAGTGGATCTGGGCAATTTGTTGAGGGAGTGCTAAAATTTGAAGAGTTTAATGGGGGCAACCCTTATAATATTTAAAAAAAATTAAAAAAAAAGTACAATGCAAAAAAAAATCACTATATGGGTGTGAAATTTGAATCCAAAGTCAACTAAATCAACCATGTTTGAAAACAATTATTTGTGTTATTGTATTATCAATGCAATCTTCGTGGATGAAGATAATTGGAAATAAATAAATAAATTTGTTGAGAGAAAAAAGAAAAACCCGAGAATACCAAACCGAAAAATACCGAACCGATAAAGTACCGAAAATAAATTGAACCCCCCATATATAACGAATCGAACGGTCGATCCGGTATTTGGGAACGGTACAAGGTTACTTTCCATACCGAAATTCCCTAACCGAACATATATAGTAATATATTATAAAAATAATAATCTTTTTATATAACTTCATTAAATAAAAAATTTATATAGACAATTTAGATTAATTTCATCATGTTTAAGTTGCACTTTAATAAGAGTTTTTTATTTTTTGTAGATGAGTATAAGAATATTAACAAATATTTGAAATAATACTTTGTTATCACTCTTTCTTTAGTTTGTGAAATATAAACTAACTTTCATAAGCATTTCTTGCATTTTATTTTTTTCATTTTTAATTTTTTTTTATCTTTCTTTGATTAAATGTACTTTCGATATTTCTAAAATAAAAGGTTTTTTTTAGATTTTATGATATAAACTAGGTACATATATATTCGTCCCGATTCGTGACGAAACCGATACCGAATCATCCCGAACCATATCGAACCGATGTTTCGGGATCGGGATCGGTAGAACGTAAAATCCCATACTGAACCGAAATATTTGGTACGGTATCGGTACGGGCTAAAAACCGTACCATACCGTATCACGCCCTCCCCTACCACTAACTCCATTTTTTAATGTGTTTAGGATGTCGGATTCAGAACAACAACAAGCTATAATATAGGATAAATTTCCACATCAAAAGATTACTGCAAATAATAATCTTGTTTTAATCCGGCCCAATATTTAATCAATTACTTGCATGAAATAAATAGATTTTGGGGCCTTACAGGCCCAGCCTGTTGGTTCGACACAAATAACTTAATTGGATTTTATTATAAGATGGATTTTAAACGGCCCGTTTTAGGTTTAAGAACTGGTGGCTTATGATTGGCCATTGGGCTGTTTAGTTCAGGCCCGGTCCAACACCCGTGCAACCTGAGGGAGGCGTCAAGCCCGATGATTCAAACGATCCATCATTTCCATAGGGTCCAGCACGCCAAACAGGATCTGTGGGTCTTTGGGCCTGGCCCAATCGCGCTTCAGGCCTTGATCGAACTACTTTGTTTAGCACTTCCTATATATAGTTCAGCGAATACACCTTGGCTCCATTCTTCATATTCTCAAGTTCCAGTGTGTTTTTTTTTAAAATAAAGTAAGCTCTGAGTTTTTAGAACGGTGAGTATCTAGTGACACCCATTTTTAATGACACTAACGGTGTTATTGTCATTTTAGAGCACTTCCGGTGCTCTGTTTGTAAAATTAACGATTCTTACTTTCCCAATCCTCTCCCTAAATCCCCACCCTATCCCCGCACCTGTACCCCCACCCCAACCCCCCGCAAGCCCTCCACAAAATGTGTAGCTATTATGCAATGCATTATACATTTCAGTACACAAATTTATTATTAGTGGGTTCACATGACATTAAATTTCACACTTTCAATGTATAAAATATATATAAAATCTTGAAACTCAAACTCTCGAATCTATCAAACGCGTAAATGAAAAAAAAATATTATTAATCAAACGGAAGACATTTTCTTCCTAACCAAGTAACGAAAGGGAGGGCGAGAAAAGGTCCCGTTGAGGAGCTCATCCGCAACGGCCTTATACATTGCCTCAGTGAGGTGGACCCCGTCCCAGTTTATATACTGGGACGGGTTCAGGCACGAGGTCGCGGTGGGGGACCCACACGTGGAGAAAACCTCGAAATTCAACTTCCCGCCCCCAGAGCCACAACAGGCTCTGTAGGGCTGGGTGATGCCGTAGCGGCTGGCATTGGTGAGGATTGACTTGTAGGCGTTCCAGTAGTCGGCGTAGACGATGGCCGCCTTGGGGAAGCGTTTTCGGAAGGCGTTGAGGTTCGATTGGAGGACGGCGTTGTGGGCGTAGCTTTGGTTGTTGGAGGAGGCGACGCAGCCCATGGCGTCTCGGTCGTTTTCGGGGGCTAAGTAGAGGGCTAGTGTCAAGCAACCTGTGGTTGGTAGGCCTTGAACCAACATGTATTTTGCGCCTTTGTTTAGCAATGCCTGTGAAACATATAAATGTAGAGAAATTTACCTAAATAGGACTAAAACATAATAACTTTCCCAATATAGGATCATATGTTTTTATTTCCCAATATAGGACCTTTGGTCATTATCAAGTAGTCATTATTCAACTAAATGTCCATCATTACTGGACATTATTCCTTCTACTAGGTCATTATTAAGTCTTATTTAGGGAATAAAAAAGTTTAAGTCTTACATTAGAAAAGTCATTATGTTTTAGTCCTATTTAGTGTAAATTTTACATAAATGTATAGGTTCAGTATTATTATTATTGTTGTTATTAAAGGTCACATATATTTGCTACATTACTTAGAAAAATGTTAAACATATAGTCTTTGAACATTATACATTTATACTGTTAGCCAATAAAAATTACTCCATCTGTCCTAACAAAATGCTTTGTAAGTCTACATGCATCTTCCAAAATTATGCACTTCACTCGCAAAACCATTATGTGTTGGGCTAAAATAGTAATAAATCATCAAAAAAGAAGGAAAATAAGATTTTTATGTATTTATCCCAAAATAAAACATATAATGCCAATATATAATACCAAAAAAACACTATAGAATGCCAATATGTAGTATCACATTGTCGGAGTTCAGTAGTCCGGCCTATTTTGATAACAAAAATATGTTATTCTTATTTTGAAGATAATGACTATGTTTTATTCCTGTTGTATAGAGTGATTTTTCTTATCCAGATTTCTATCACAAATCATTTGATCAATAAAGTAATATAAATCTACCAATATTCAAACAAACTGAATTAAAAATAACTCCAACTAAATATCGTTATCCAAAACGAGACGACTAAGAGAGGAAGCAATTCTGTTGAATTTTAGATGTAGTAGAGATTGAATTAGTTACCTCTATAAAGGCGGTGACAGTAGAGACAGCAAGGCGTTGAATAGTATCTCCAGAAAGAGTAGAGCCAAGAGTGTATGCATAGTCATTGGCCCCAATTTCTCCAACCCAAAACAAAGACTCCTCAAAAACCTCCCCACACTCCTTTGGTGTGGCCTTATTGTCTTTGCACCCCACACTCTCCAAGTAGGCATTGAACCATTGGAGTTGGGTTTTTATTGATTGGGGAGTTATGTTTAGTGTTAGGTTGTTCTTCACGAAAAAGCTGCACGCGTAACGTACTCAGTAAAATTGTTGCCTCTTTTATTCTAAAAATGTTTTTATGTTTTTTATTCACATAATCAAATTATGACTAGGTGAAGATGTCATTTTATATATGACACTTGCCTCGCTAAATTGAGGCTCTTACGATATTATGTTTGAAAAATCAATGGTTTCTACAACCTAATCCCTCGTATAAGCCACCCTAGCTCGACCTAAGCTCACCCTCTTAAATTACAAAACTTAGTTTACTTTAAGTAAAAAAATGATTTCAAATTAAAGTCATTTGGGGTGCAATTAAATTGGGTGGAGAGTGGGTTCGGATTGGATCGTGTTGGGTGTTTACCAAAGTTTAGAGGTAGGAACGATTGATTTTTCAAACGTAACATCATCAGAAAATCAATTTTTTTATATAATATGATCGGCACCCTTCTTCCCTCCCAAAAAACATCTCATTTTTATTTAAAAGTCACTTTTACTCCTATTAATTTTTAACCAACTTGTCACATCACATCTATTCACTATTAATCTATTCATCAAATCCTACATGTATCCATCACATCAAAGGACATTTTTGGAAACTCAGAACAAAAATACACTCAACTTAAATCCTTCAAAAATCAAAATCTCTCATATTTTTAGGGACGGAGGGAGTAAGATGGTTTTTAGCCATTATAAGAGCATCTACAATGGAAAGTGTACAAGTAGGTAGGCTATATTTAGTTTTACACTATCAATAATGTTTTACACATCCACTTTTTTATATCCACTCCAACCATATCTTCTATATAATACACTTTTATTTTATTTTAATATTTTAAGTTATTTAATTGTGATAATATATATAGTTCAAAAATTCCGATGACACATACGTAGTATATTTTAAACTATGGTTATAGAGTATTAAGAAACAAGAAATAAAAAAAATTAGTAAAAAAAAGCGTACTACAACATTTTAGTAAAAAAATTACTACCTCCGTCCCACTCTTTTTGTCCAGTTTTGACTTTTGGAACTGTTCATCTAAGCACTTTGACTCATCAAATTCTCTCAATGTGTAAGTTTAAAAATAGTCATGTGTGATCTTGTTTGATTTGTCTTAACATATAGATTATTAATATATAATTTTTATAATTTTTTAATATACAAATTACAAGATAAAATGAATTAAAGAAGTGCATTGGATGGTGTGCAAAAATGAAAGTGGACAAAAAGAGTGGGACGGAGGGAGTATTTATAAAAGTAATTGAAAGAGTATTAATAATTTACTAATAGTTAGATATTTTAAATAAATTATATTGGATAAGAAGAATTAACAAAATTATTCATGCATTATTTTAGTTATAAATTTTTTACAAGATATGAATAGGAGAGTGTATATATAGAAGTTGAGAATTGTATTTTGGGCTATAGTGCATTATTTACACTATTCATTAGAGGGGTTTAAATTAGACCTGGCAAAACTGACCCGGACCCAATAACACGAACCGAATAACCCGGAATCGAACCCGAATTGACCCGAAAATTGAAGAACCGAAATAGAATCGAACACCCGAAATGATCCAAACCGAACCGAACCCGAACCGAATGTATTCAGACCCGAACCGATTAAACCCGAATTCGGTTAAACCCGGAATCGGTTAGACCCGAAACCAAATAGACCCGAAATTGATCAAATTCATTAGTATTTCATTTATCAAATGAACTTGGAGAAAAAGAATTTCCTAAATACTTTTACATATGTTGATGTGTTTCTAAAAAAACATATTTAAATTATGGGTGCAAACCGTGTAACTACTTTCATGTACAAATCTTTTACTCCGTATTTTATTACTTGAGTTGAAATGTTTTTTTATTTTTATAGAGAGTATATAAAATTTATAGTGACATTGTAATACATATTTTATGTAAACAATTACTCCGATATAAACCTGAATCGATTTTGTTTTTTGTTTTTAATAGTGACATTGTAATACATATTTTATGTTAACAAAGTTGATTTTGTTTTTTAAGTATGCCAATTAACCGATATAAACCCGAATCGATACAAACCCGAACCGATATAAACCCGAACCGAAACCGAAAACTAATCAAACCGATATAAACCCGGAACCGAACTGACCCGACCTAAATCGACCTAAACCGATTATAACATATATCCGAAAGAGACCTGAACCAAATAGATCCAAACCGGAACCGAACCGATTGACCCGATTTCTAGGTCTAGTTAAAATGTACTATATATTGTAGTGTATAAAGTGTATATTTAACATTATACACTTTTTACCCTCCCATTGGAGATGCTCTATCTAAAGCCTAAAGGATTTAAATAGATTTAAATATCACTATGTATATAACGGAACATGCACTTGCTGTGTCACACACAGCGCATTTACTACCGATAATTAAGATTTGAACAACCAACCAACCAACCAACCTGTGATCTATGGCGGTGGAGCCCCCGACGGCGAAGTTGACGCCGTGAGACCTGTCGGCCTTACGGTTGAGGTACGGCGGCAAGAAAGGGAGGGAGAGGGATTGGGCGGCGAAGTCGATGACGAGGCGCCCGTCCGAGTAGCGGTTCGTGGGGCGGTGGAAGAACGTGCGGCCGTACGGCGGGTTCGACACGTAGGTGAACGAGCTGGGCCCCGTCGCCGAGTGGGTGTTCCCCGTGTCGGTGAACGAGTCGCCGAACGCGTAGATTCTCTTGAAGGGCGCCTTCTCTCCGGTCGCCGCCTGCGTTGGGTGGCACAATATGATGAGCATGAAGGATAGTAGTGTTGCCATTTTGGTTAAAGAAGCCATGGCTTTCTTTTGGTGATCAATGTTCATAGATAGATGTTGATGAGGATGATGATATATAAAGTCCAAAGGTGGACTACACTTTGGATCACAAATTAACTAAGTTCAACATTTTATAAATGCATAACCTAGATTTTCTAAATACTCCTTACCTCCCAAAATTATCGACTCACTTGGAACTAGGTGAATCTAAAGACCACATAAGAATTTGTCAAAATATTAAAATGTTAATTTTAAGATATATAATTATTAGTGGGTACACCTCAATGATATATTTAGGGAAATTTACGTAAATATCACTAAAACATAATGACTTTCTTTAAATAACATCACATGTGTTTTTTTCCAATGTAGCACTTTTAGTCATTATCAATTAGTCATTATTCAAGAAAATGTTCGACATCACTGGACATTATTAAGTGCTATTAAGAAAAATGACTTAAGTTTTAGTGCTATTTAGTGCAAATATTTCATATATTATTTATGTAGTATTTATTTTAAAAAAATACATATTTTTATTTTCATATTTTTGTTTTAATTAATAGTCTGTCACATAATGTGTATAGATCTATTTTATTTTTTAATTATGACTAATCTATCATACATACATCATCCTACTCCATTATAAATTAAGGACAAATATTAAAAATAACACTAAAATTACTCATTTTGAGGGTGAGCCATTTTATCAAAAAGGAGGAATTTTATGAGACAGAGAGAGCATTAATATTTTTTAAATAACGTTACTAAGAAAATTATATCGTATACCTGAATTTACTTATTGATAAAAAATTTAATATGTATATGTCGAGTGTAGAATAATAATAATAATAATAATAATAATAATAATAATAATTTTAATAATAATAATAATGAGCATTTCTAATAGCTAGTGAGGAAAAAAATTCCTCACTAAACTCTTTCTAGACTTATTTAGATTTTTTTTTTTCAAAAATGCATTCAAAAGGTGAGAAATTTTTTTCCTCTCGATCTACCCCTCTATCCCACTCTCTTTCTCCATATTTTGGTGTGGAAAATTTTCTTCCACTGGATGTAAAAAAAACATGAGGAAAATGGTACGGTAAAAACTCGGCTCCTTAGTAAAACAAATTCACGTCTTAGGAATTTCCGCACCACTGGGGTCGTTCTTGTGACATTGTTCTTTTCATCCTTAAATTAGTCTAAAATGATTCTACTAACAAAAAATTTTGGGTTCCCTAGCATAATTAAGTCATATATATAGTTGAGTTTTAACCGCAGATCTTTACTTCGTTAGGTCACATATTTTTGATCTGTCAAATAATCATCTTATATCGCCGCCACAACTTTACGGGACATGACATCTGACTTCCTCTTATTGAAAGTACTTTCGACACAAGGCGTTACCTTAGATTTCCTTCCTGTCTGTTCAATTGTTAAATTTGAACTATGATACCACATGTTTGGATTGTGTGTACCCTCAACTCAATTTTTATATAATTGATGATGATGATATATAAAGTCCAAAGGTGGACTCCCAGCTTTGGATCTCAAATTCACAAGATCAACATTTTTTAAATACATAGATTTTCAAAATACTCCCTAAGATACGGAGTATATGGAATTTGATTCTTTAAGTTTAATGGGATGTTTTTCGTTGAAAATATTATGGATTATTAAATGTTTTTCGTTGAAAATATAATGGTTTATTAAATTTACACATATGTATACTCTCCTCGTCTCATAAAACCGTACTTTTCTTTTTTTGAAAAGTCACACTGCATCTCTAAAATGAGTAATTTTGATGTTATTTTCTAAATATGACTCATCTATTTTATATATATATCATCCTACTCCATCATAAAGGTAAAGTGAAATTAAAAAGTAACATCAAAAATAATAATTTAAGGATGTGCCTTTTTAAAAAAGGGAAGAATTTTATGGAAGAGAGGGAATATAAGTTTGATATTGGTATAGATTTGGCTAAGTTAAAGGGAAATGTATGGATATAATCATTTCAAAAATGCTAGAAACTACAACCGTTGTTACACTAATTTATTTATTTAAGATTGGTATAGTAATAAAAAGTAATACTCTCTAAAACAAAATTACTAAGAACAATCCCAAGAAATTATATGACTAGTATTGCTACAGCGGAACCGTTTCTCTCTCTAACCATGGGAAAGAGAGGGAGACCGTCAAAAACCACCGGAAAAGATCCCGGAAATCAACTTTCCAACGTAGATTCACAGTCTCCGTCTACATCCAAAGCATCGACGTCGAGAGAGAGAGTTGGGGATGATCAGCCATCTAGTGAATTGAGTGAAGATCTGCAGGATAAGCCAGATCCTGATGCGCTACCTGACCCAGATTCAAATAAGAAGAAGAGTTTTGCAGAAGTGGTGGGAATTCAGGAGGATCTAAACCTAAATCTGTCATACATCCCAGCGGAAGAATTAGACGGTAAGCAAATCATACGTTTTTCCATAGATGATGTGATCGAACCTGGGAAATATTGGGATACTGCTTTAATCTGCTGCATCTTAGGAGCCAACCCTCCGTTGGATGTCGTGAAAGGATTTCTGTCCCGTATATGGAGAACCTATGCCATTGATGATATATCTTTTTTTAAGGAAGGTCAGTTTATTGTAAGATTCAACAAGGAGGAAGATAGAGATGAAATTCTCAAACGTAAATACTATTACATGGATAACAAGCCAGTTTTTGTACAGAAATGGTATCCAGGATGCAAAGTGGACATAATGTCACGCAAGGATATACCTATATGGGTGCAATTCCCGGATCTAGAAATGAAATATTGGAGTCTAACAGGTCTAAGCAAGCTCGGGAGTGCTATTGGGAAACCTGTGAAAAGAGATAAGGCTACTGCCTCTAGAGTGAAATGGTCTTATGCAAGAATTTTAGTAGAGGTCCAGATTAATCAGTCCTTCCCTGATCAGATCCATTTCCTCAATGAGGATAGCAGGATCATAACCCAACAGGTGAAGTATGAATGGGCCCCAGTACTGTGCTCTCATTGCAACAAAATTGGGCATGTACTAGAGAAGTGTAGAAAGAAGAATCCTCCCCAAGATGTCCCTGGAAAACAGAAGAAGATATGGAAACCAAAATATACAAAGAATGAAGATAAAACTGATGCTCCCAGTAGCCCAAAGCCTAAAGTAGTGGATGCTGAGGCATTATCCCTGACAATGAATGAGAAACTGAAGGACAAATTCCCAGAACCTGCTGAAGAGGAAGGATTTATAGAGGTAAACAAAAGGAAAGCTGCAAGGAGATTTTCTCTGGATAGTAATGAAATATACTTGGGTGGAATACATGCTGATCTCAGGTTGGCTCCTTATAAGGGGCATCGCCCTTTCCTGCAATGATAGGGTGTTGGAACATTAGAGGGCTCAACAGCCCTAATAAACAGTATGAAATAAAAAATATTATAAAGAAATATGATATTAGGATTTTTGGTATTCTGGAAACAAAGATAAGGGATGTGAATTATAAAATGGTGGCTGATAAACTATTTTTGGGATGGAGCTCTTATATCAACAATAATGCTCATCCTTTGGGTAGAGTCTGGATTGTTTGGGATCATAGTAAAATCTGTATCGAGGTTTTGGAGGCTACTGATCAGATTGTTCACTGCAAAGGAAGATTTGTTGGAGATGATAGAGAATTCTTCTTGTCTTTCGTTTATGCACAAAATGATTCTAATAAGAGGAAGGAACTTTGGGACATAATGCAGAGGTTATCAACTAATGATGCCTGGTGTGTTTTAGGGGACTTCAATACTGTCCTCAACCTTGATGAAAGGTTAGGTGGTAACATTACAAATTGGGAAGAACCTAGGCTGTTTAAGGACTGTCTAAATAATTGCGGCCTGGAAGACCTTCCCTATGAAGGGTCTAAGTACACTTGGACTAATAACCAAAGTAAAGAAACCAGAATCTACTCAAAGCTTGACAGAGTTCTGGGTAATGTGGAATGGACAATCAAATTTAATTTCAAAGTCTTCTTCAATGAAAGAGGTATTTCTGATCATTCTCCAATGATCCTGAAAACTTTGGAACAGGAAGGGCATAATTTCTGTTTCAAGTACTGTGATATGTGGGCATTAGATCCAAGCTTTCCTTCACTGGTTTCAGAAATTTGGGATCAAAAACAAGAAGGCTACCTGATGCACCAAGTCACCCAAAAACTCAAGAGGCTTAAAGGTCCTTTAAGGACCCTTAACAGAGACAAATTTCAATTTCTTGATAAACAAGTGGAAATCCTGCGCACCAAGTTACACCTCACTCAAGCAGAGCTGAAGAATAACTTGAATGATGACAACCTCCTTGAAGCTGAAAAACAGTTAACTCAGGAGCTTTATTTAAAAATGAAAGCCTCCTTTCTTTTGAGAAGACAACAAGCAAAGGCAGATTGGATCACCTTTGGAGATCATGACTCTAAACTCTTCTATGCATGGGTTAAGAAGAGGAAAGCAACCAACCAATTAACATCTATAAGGAATGCAGAACATGAAATTGTGGAGGGTAAGCAGGCAGTAGCTAAAGTACTTGTTGATTTCTATCAAGAACAACTGGGGAGAACAAAACCAACAGATGATATCAATGGAGAGATAATCAATATGGGTAACTGTTTGACAATTGGGCAACAACTGGAGATCATAGCCCCCATAACACCTGAAGAGATTAAGCAAAGCATGTTTGACATTCCTAATAATAAAAGTCCAGGGCCTGATGGTTTTAGTAGTGGTTTCTTTAAATGCCAATGGAAGAAGGTGGGGGGTCTGATAACCCAAGCCATTCAAGAATTTTTCCTGAAGGAGGATACTGTCAAACAAATTAATGCAACCAACTTAGTT